CCCCAAAACCCCAAAACCCCAAAATGCCAAAATGATTGAAACTTTGAAAATTTAAGATAAAATATAAGAATTGTTTTAAATGAAGGAAATAATAAATATTGGAATTGGAAATTATGGGATACAATTGGTAAATGAATTTCTAGAAGAACTCTGTCTTGATCATGATATAGGACTAGATGGTGTGAAAAAAGTTGCATCTGAAAAAGATTAATAACTCGATTATCCTAATATTTACTTTGAGGAATTGAGTTGTGGAAGGTTTCTTTCTAGATCTTTGATGATTGACACTGATTGTACAAAGATTGAAAATATAAGATGTGGGAAGACGAGATATTTATAGTCGATAGACAATTACTTATGCCTAAAGTAAGGAGGAGCTGGGAATTATGCAAAAGCTAGAAACGCATATGAAGATGGACTTAAAGATTCGTTCAAAGATAAATTGAGAAAGCTTGTAGAGGGTTGTGATAAATTTCAAGCTTTTCAACTTCAATATGCTACAGGTGGAGGGACTGGATCTGGTCTTGGTAGTAAGATAATAGAACATATAAATGAAGAATATTCTAGTGAGTTTATATAGACATTCAATCTACTTTCAAACGGAAAATTATAAGAAAGAAGTCTGGAAACATATAATACAGTCCTTTGCATTAGTTAACTAATAGAATGTGCAAACTCAACTGTATTTTTCGATAATCATACCCTATAAGATCTTTGTTAAAAAAAAGTTCAAACATCCCTAAACCAAATATTGAAGATTTAAATTATCTAATGACTTAGTATATGGCTACTATGATTAGTACATTGAGATTTCCTAGCTAGTAAATAAATGATTTTAGAAAGATAGGTACTTCAACTATTCCTTTTCCCAGAATGCATTTCTTAACTCCATCTATGGCAAATCTTGCACCAAGATTCATAGAGGAATACGAAAAAGATGATATGATAACAAAAGACGTATGCTTTAGACTATTTGATAGCAGAAATACTTTACTAGATATAGATTATTCCTAAGGAAGATTTTACAGTTATACAGCTATTTTTAGAGGTCTAAATTACTCTTCAGTTGATTTGTTCTAAGTGTTGCAACAAATTAGAAATCTAATTGCAGCTATTTTGCGGAATGGTTGCCTGATCATCATTCTGTTGGCGTTATCATTAGAGATTTAAAGCATTTACCTAAAAATTAAGGCATTTTATTGGGAAATTAAACAGCTATTTCTAAAATATTTTCGAAACTAGGAACAGATTTCACCAATTTAACTAGACGAAAAGCATATCAACATCATTTTACTGAATAAGGAATGGATGAGATGGAATTTGTAGAAGCAGAAAGTAATTTGAATGATTTAGTATCAGAATATACGCCTTGCAATTAAGGTGATAATTTAGAATTTGAAGGAGATGATTATTGAATTAAATGCAAAGCTGATGATTTTTTAAAAAGATTTTAGACTATTAGTTTTTTTTATTTGTATGAACTATCAATCTTTTATAAATTATGTACTTTGGGGTTTTGGGGTTTTGGGG